TTACTTCTTCCCAAGAAGTCCCAATTCTCTTGACGACATGGCAAAACATGTTGTTAAGGCTGTACACGAGAGGTCAATCACGAGATGCGTACCTCAATAGAGCAAGATCATTTTCGGGGACTTACTCTAAACAAAGATAAGCTTTACCAATATCGGCTTTGGAAAGCTTACGTAGAAGGATCTAACTGGAATTTCTCTAAAAGGATATTTCGATTTTATTCTTCTCAAAGAAGCTGCTGATACCAAGCTTTATTGGAAACGACTTATGGGAAACAAGTTTCATCCTTTCCCAATTGAAGCCGGTCCCATTACGGTAGAACACTTCAGACGAGAAAGGATTCTCAAAGAAATTTATGAAGAAACCGGAGTCCATGGACAAGGAACCCCGGAGCTTCATTTCCCTCGATGATGAGGACATAAACTTCATTGACCGAGATGGTTGAAGAAGGACTTGATGATATGTCTTCCGTGTCAGTTTCCAGAAGACATTCATAAAATTTCAAAAGGCAGGAACTGTACAAATCCCGCCTCCCCACAACCAATGAGTCTTTATGATAAAGACGAATTTACCCTTGAAGATTTCGAGGAACTCCTAATGACGTAATCTCCCACGTCATTAGCCCCACAAAGACTAGTTTACCCTTGAAGATTTCGAGGAACTCCTAATGACGTAATCTCCCACGTCATTAGCCCCACAAAGACTAGTTTGCCCTTGAAGATTTCGAGGTGCTTCTCATGACGTAATCCTTTACGTCATACACGGCTGTATCAAAAGACGATAAGGTTAATGACAGATAATGATATCTTGCTACCTTGTCACGATTCCTCTTCAGTTACATGTTGTTAGGCCCATTAAGCCTTGCATGTTAATGACGGTAAGATTGAATCGAGTCTTTTGATAAAATGTAAAAAAAAAAAAAAAAAAAAAAAAAATTGTTGGGCCCACTAGGCCCATTACTATTCACTTTACTATTTTTGTTTCTTAGTGAGGAAGTTTCCTCCGTAGAATTTCTTCTTTGTTAAGTTTTGAGACCCATAAGTCATGAGTGGGTCCCACATGTAAATTACTATTCATTAGTTTAATATTTTCCATTTTCTATATAAGGTTCCATAAGTCCCTTATGCTGGGCAAGAACCTCCCCCCCTCTCTCTAGACAAGTCTCTCCTCCTTCTCTCTACTTCTCCCAGCTTATGTAAATTTCTTATTATCAATAAGAGAAGTTATTCGAGCATCTCCCCTCTCCTTCTCCTTCTCTTCCCCCAAGTAAGTGCTCTCTGCTCCCCCTTATGGAGTAGTTTTCTTATAAGGGCGTCCTCGGATGCCTTAAGCTTTATTTATTTAAAGATGCGATAATCATTTAAAGGCTTAAATAATTTTGTTTGTACAGCTTTAATTTTGTTCATATAAGCTTATGAGGAAATGTCTAACCGGCTCTGCCAGATTCAGTCATCTCATAATCTTATCATGGACTTTGTGTGTTTATTTTCCCTGTCTTTACTTTTCTGCATTTAATTTCGTTCATGTATAAGCTTATGTGGAGATGTCTAACCGGCTATGCCAGATTCATCCATCTCATAATCTTATAAGTGAACACTTTTCTTGCTATAACCGACTTTATCTCGGACAGTCTTCATTTTAGCTAGCCCGGTTTCGGGTTCTCTGGTAGCTAAGTAGCCACGTTGACCGACAGAAGAGATAAAGAGTTATAACATGTTTTAATTTATTTTGTTTTCCTGTCTCTTTACTTTCCTCCTTTCCATCCCCCCTTCGGGTCTCAGGGCAGTTTATTCTGGGTTCATTCCCGGTTTTCTCTGTTCTGTCCACCCTCCGGTATCTGAGCAGTGTTTTCCCCTCACCGGGTTTTCCTGCTTTCTCTGTACCTCTTTATTTTTGGGGTATCAGTCAGTTATCTGGCGGTTCAAACCCCGGATTTCCTGTTTTGAGTTTCACCCCTCTTTCCCCCCCTCTTGGTATCAGAGCGAGGTCGCGTGCTCGATTCCTGCCGAGGACGGAATTGGGGCAACGGGTGGTAAGTCCCCACGAGATTCCCGAAGAGCGGGGGAATCAGAGTCGCGGAAGCGTGGTGGGACCAGGGGCTAAGTGCTAAAGTGTGAACCCTTACTACTAGCTTAAGCTTTTAGCAAAGTGGCTAGCGCTTGGCGCCAAACTCTTGGTATCAGAGTGAGGCCGCGTGCTCGATTCCTGCCGAGGACGGAATTGGGGCAGCGTGTGGTAAGTCCCCTCGAGATTCCTGAAGAGCGGGGGATCAGAGTCGCGGAATCGTGGTGGGACCAGGGGATAAAGGATTAAACGTGCGTCCTAACTATGAGCTTAAGCTTTTAGCTAAGTGGCTAGCGCTTGGCGCCAAACTCTTGGTATCAGAGCTAGGCCGCGTGCTCTCTTTCCCCCCCTCTTGGTATCAGAGCGAGGTCGCGTGCTCGATTCCTGCCGAGGACGGAATTGGGGCAGCGTGTGGTAAGTCCCCTCGAGATTCCCGAAGAGCGGGGGAATCAGAGTCGCGGAAGCGTGGTGGGACCAGGGGCTAAGTGCTAAAGTGTGAACCCTTACTACTAGCTTAAGCTTTTAGCAAAGTGGCTAGCGCTTGGCGCCAAACTCTTGGTATCAGAGCGAGGTCGCGTGCTCGATTCCTGCCGAGGACGGAATTGGGGCAACGGGTGGTAAGTCCCCACGAGATTCCCGAAGAGCGGGGGAATCAGAGTCGCGGAAGCGTGGTGGGACCAGGGGCTAAGTGCTAAAGTGTGAACCCTTACTACTAGCTTAAGCTTTTAGCAAAGTGGCTAGCGCTTGGCGCCAAACTCTTGGTATTATAATTTATAAATTAGAAAATAGAAATGATAACTCTCATATGTATTAATAGCACAACCTAAAACACATAGGTAACAGGAAAACAAAATTTTAATATGCAACAAATAAATAAATCTTATTATCTGTGAACAAACCTTCCCTTCAACTATATGTTCCTTGTAAGAATCTTTTTTCAACCTTGTCCAAAGTACTTCGTAGGTACTGGAAACTATATTATGTCTGCTAATTGTTTTCTTCAACTATATGTTCCTTGTAAGAATCTTTTTTCAACCTTGTCCAAAGTACTTCGTAGGTACTGGAAACTATATTATGTCTGCTAATTGTTTTCTGCTACTATAATAATCCAGTTTAATAACACCGTTATTACACAAATCTTTCAAAAAATGAAATCTCGCATTTTTGGATAATTTTACTGTAAAATCATGGAAACTATGCACTTTAAATGATTTTGTCATTATGTCTGTTAATTGTTTTATGCTACTGTAATAATCCAACTCAATAACATCGTTATTACACAAATCTCTCAAAGAAATGAAATCTCACATAATATGTTTACTTCTTTCATGTAAGACTAGATTTTTGGATAATTTTATTGCAAAAGCATTATTACAAAAAATGATAGTAACTCCCTCTTGACAGTGATCTAGATGCTCCAAAATTCTTCTCAATCAAATGCACTACTGTGAATTCTACTTCGGTTGTAGATAAACTAATCACTAGTTTTTTTTATGACAAGATATTATATCATCTCCCAATTTGAAAACATAAACAAATGTGCTCGTTCTATCTTTTGTATTCCCTACGTAATCACTATTAGACAAGTAATTCTATATTTACCTAACCTACAGTGCCATTTGATAATGGTTTCAAACTGTATTTTTTCATTAACATGTTTTATAATGCTAATTAAATATTAGTTCAAACTATTTTCACTTCGTATTTAACTTTGTTATAAAGTTGGTGTTTAAAATAAGGGTTTTAATGAAAGTAGTGTAATTTCTTTTTTGAAATTACTGAAATAGATAAAAATTTAATAAAATAGGAAAATATGTATTTGAAAAACAAATTTCAATGTCTTTAATTTTATTTATTTAAAACAAAAATTACATTATCATTAAAAGTATGACTTTACTTTTATAATAATAATTAATATTATTATTATAATATTAGTATTGTTATAATTAATTTATTATGTATAATAAAATTACACTTCTAAGCATATAGTTTTTTTTTTCATGTACACATTTGTCTTACATTTTATCTCTGTTATTGTATTGGATTCACAAGTGCTTTTTATAACTTCTATTTTTCTTATAACTTTTAATTACTACCTAAACTGAAATATATAAAATATACCATTTTTTAAACTGACTTTTTAACCCTGTTCTAGTTATTTAGTAACCGTTTTATTAACAAATTTTATTTTTTATTAAGATAATTGGCATTTTAATTAAAATTAAAATGAAGTCGTAGCAAGAAAATAAATACTACGTATTCGAATAGGATGTCAAAAAGACTAATTAGTTCAAAATAACTAAGTTTCAGATACAGTTCATCCAGTACATTAAGAAATAAAACCACAAAGCAAGAATATGCAAAACATTATAAGTATTCTTATAGAATCTAGTTTGCAAAGCAAGAATATGCAAAAACTTAAAAAAAAATCATATTTCAAACTAACCAATGTTAAGCTACTAGCTCGAAACCCTAAACTCTATCCTAAATCCTAAACCAAGTATTCCAAAACAATATATTTCGAAAAGAACAATATGCAAAAATTAAAAATTTAAATTCAAAACAAATAACTAAAACTTCATATTTCGAAGTTATTTTTTGCGCTATAAAAGCTTGGGTACTAAAAAAATATCTGAAAATATACAACAGATGAGTTACGCATAAGCTTTAAGCAAATTAGAGGATCGATCTTGAGGAATTTCATAATCTTTAGTAACATAAGATTCGGGAGATATCAAAGTATGTATCACATTACTAACTATTATCCGTTCTCTAGCATCAAAACTGAATTAAAGCTTCACAAAACACAAGAAAACTTCGCACTGAAAATCATTATCAGAACATAAATAACATGAAAACTGCCTCAACCGTCTAAAATATAAGAAAAAATTAATTTCAGGGGTAAAAATACCAGCATAGAATAAAACATACTATCACATCACACCCTAAATCCACGGCTGTTCCTCCTTCCTCTAGCCCTCTCGAACTTCCTTCCCTTTGATCGAACATAAGGTTTGGTGTGGCTGTGAGGAACACCAGGAGCAGGACCAAAGTGCTTCACGGCTTCACGAGCATTCTTCGGGCCTCTAAGAAGGACCTGCATTCCATAATATTTTCAATAAAATACTAACCTCATGATATCCAAGTTTGAACAACCACCATACTCAAAATGACGTATACAGCTCAGTAACAAGGCTAATGCAAAACGTATATAAAATCATTAAACGACAAGAAAAAATTAAAAAGCAAAACCATGATCAATGCTACAAGTAGTTAGTATTCTACCAATTCATTCATAGAATATTTAAACCAATAATTGAACTATAGTGGCCTCTAGTCGTACCGTGTTCTGTCCAAGAGGAGCCCTAAGAGCCAACTGATCAAATGTCAAGCATTCACCACCAGCCTTTTCAATTCTTGCTCGAGCAGTCTCCGTAAACCTAAGTGCTGTAACTTTCAAGGGTGGAACTTCATAAACACGAATATCATCAGTTATAGTCCCCACCACCACAGCAATCTTATCTTCCTACATAGACAAAATTAAGAACTAAAACAATGGATACAAGTACAAAACTAATCAACGGAAAATGTTAAAAAATAAAAGACGCACCTTCCCCTTGGTATACTTAATCAACCTTGACAAAGAAAGTGGGGGCTTGTTAACCTTGCTCATGAACAATCGCTTGAGTATAACAGCATTGAAATTGCTGCCAGTTCTCCGGACAAGGAAGCGATAAAGCTGATAATGTAGAAACAAATCAGAAAGCTTCAAAGCATATATAAAGATACACACATATTCAAACATTTACTCAAAGTAGATAAAATGGGAAAAATAAATCTTTGAGAACAAATGGTTCTAAAACTAATAGGAAGTATCCAAAAAACCTGAAAACTTGTATGCAAATAATGACAAGCACCAATGAAATACACTAGTTCCCTCAGTATGATAAACTACAATATTAATCATTTGTACTCAGAATTAGCATGGTTAAAGGAAAAGACATCATCGGGAACCTTTCTACTGTAGGAGCACAAACTTTAGGATTTAAATCCAAAAGTTAAAACTTAAGTAAACGAGTCATATATTAATCTAGTATCTAACAACGGATCTGCATTGACGTCAGAAAAACAAGCATATAAAAAAAAAAAAAGTTAAATTGCAGTTTCACAAAAAGGTTCAATGAAACTAACTTAACTGGCTTAAGAAATATCAAAACTCAAATAATCGAACAATAAAATAAAAATTATACGTCTTCTGAGAGAAAGTGGCTCAGAAAAATGTGGAAAATTCTATTCCCAGACCTTCCAATGGTGAAGGTCTCATAATGAGCTGGGATCACATTTATCATCACTGACCACAAAGAAAAAGGCATGAGAGAAGTTATTTGAAACCAACCTTAACCAAGAGCTTGAGATAGATATCATTGGACTTTGGTGCTGTCCTTTTGGTCTTTTTACTCTTACCTCCGGCCTTGAGATCGATCCCCTGTGTGCCCAATTCAAATGAGATTCGTTAGAGACAAAAAAACAACATTACTGCGCACAAAGAAGAACGAGAGATAGAGGAAGAACCATTGCTGCTTCGGGTCTCGGACGAAACTCCTTCACTCTTTGCCGCTACACCTGCAATTTATGATAACAAGCAAATTAGGGTTTTTGACTTTAATAACGGGACTCAGAATATGGGCCGGGTTTGGTTCTAAAACATAAGCCCAATGCTTCACTTGGTGTATTGGGCCCAAACATCAATAACAACAGACCTAACACAATTTACATAGAGAACGTTGCGTGAAGGAAAATAGTTGCATGCCTTTAGTCATAATTGTTCAGCAGTTCAATTAAAATATAACACACGGTACAAAATAAAATGATTAAAATTTTAAAATCAAATCAAATTTATAATGTTTTAGTTTTAAAGTTTTAAAAAACTTGTTCATTTTTTTTTTGTTGGAAATAGATAACTGTTTCATTCTCGATTCTGGTATAATCTGTTGAGGGAGGAGCTGCTTGTATAAATACGTTGCCAATTTATACATTGTTCATGGATGGGTTCAATTCGAGTTTCAGTAATATAGCATTTGATTAATCATTTTTAATTAGAATGATTAGATTTATTTTACCTAAAAAATATTAATATAAATGTTTGTATTTTCTTCTAGTTTCTATCTCCATTTATTTTATATTCAAAGTAAAATATTTCTAATAAAAATTTAGTAGTGTTTAATTATTAACTATTTTTTTTTAAATATGGTGTAAAATCATTATTTTTTTAATCGAAATAAGATAAAATAAATTACATGATCATACTAAAATACTTTGATTTAGGCATCAAAAATTAATTAAGGGAAAAAAATGATCGGTAAGGCGAGGCAGGTCATATAATTCACTCCCCAAAATTTTGTAATTAACCTAATTATGATTTTCATTTTTAAACTTAATGATGATTGGATGGTGATGAAATATGATTGAGTGGGATGAATTAATGATTAGAGTAAATTTTAATGTAAACACTTATTTTTTTTTAATTGGTAAATTTTTTGTTTTACATATAATTCATCAAACTTTATTTTACACACAAATTGATATATATATATATAATTTTCATTCTTACCTGGAATCTTTAATTTCAATTTTAGATTAATAATCTTTTAAAATAGATTTATAAACTTATTTAAATTTTATGCTAAATCATTAGAAAAAATAGAAAACTCTCAAAATTGATCTCTCTTTCTTGGACAATTTCTAAAAGTTTTCGTCATTTTTTTCTTTTTTACCTCCTTTACCAATCATTAATATAAATTATAATGCAAATTATTTCATATCGCTGTATGAAAAGTTCTTCCTTCGATATAACAAATATTTTCAACAATCATAAATTTCACCACCTACAGTTTCAGTGGTCTACACAATCTTTCCAATAACAATGTTTAAACAGAAATTTCATAACTTTGTATCCAAATTAGGCTGAAAAATATTACAGAAGGAGCAAATCGCACGTAAAAGAAAAAAAAACTTTAGTTAAAGATAATACATATTTCATTAATTCTTTAACTTAATGTCTTAATATATTTCTTTACGAAAAAAATTATTGAAAATAATGAATTATTATAACGACTTTTATTTATGACAATCTAGGAGAGGGACATTTAATTAAATAAAATTATTGATGCAAAATATTAATGCTCGCGTTAAAATCATGTCATACAAACAAGTAATTGATTTAAAAAAAATGGTTATTTTTTCCAAAAACTTGTGTCCAAAGTATTTTGAAGGCTTTTCATCATTAGCTTCTAATTCTGCCAGAAAACTAAAAGTGTCCAAAGCAGCAAGAAATTTTCAAATTAATGTTTTTTTTATCATAAAATAAGTTTGAAAAATATAAAGCAACAGAATGTTCAACTAGGCCATTTAGATAAATTTCATTAGATATCAGTAGTTAAATAAATCTCACTTCTTAGAACTTCATGATTGGAAATCTCACATCATTATTAGCAAACAGAAATCCACTAATGAGTTCGTAGTCTTAATTAATAAATTTTAGCAAACAGTAAAGAATGTGTAGAGATGAATGTGGTATAGTATATAACTGGTTCTCCTCACAAACCTAGTATAAAACTTTAAATAAATGGAGACCTTCATATTTTTAACTTATAATCAACCATGTTTCAAAACAAAAAACACTCTTGATTTAGAACCAGACATAATCTTTTTTGTCCGTTTTCTTTCTCAAATGTGATTTTGAATGCCTCTTCCATTCTTCTCTCTCTTATTACAATGACCTAATACAAAATACTCTAATCTCAGTCAACTAGAGATCCTTCAAACAGGGGCATGCCTACTTGCCAGCATTTCCCAGGAACTTCCATCAATGGTGAGTTTGACTCGATTGTACTGAGGCATGATGCATGAAGCAGTAAGCAATCTCAGGGGGCGAGGGTTAGAGATGTGGATGCACCCAGGGTTTTATACGGCAATGGTTTTTCATAAATCAATAAGTTTTCTACAGACAAAAGCCATAAGACCAAACAAATTCTTTTTTATAACCAACTTATACTTCGGTCTAAAGAAACCCATTTTAAAGGGAAAAATATCATGAATAAACTATGCAAAAAGAAAGAAAAAAACGTGAAAAACAAGGGTACAAAATAAAGCAAGACTTCATTTTGATAATTATAACAGGAAACTCAAAGATTCGCCTACAAATTAGCACGTTAATTATGTTCTCAACATCACATACAAGGAACACTCATCTGGAAATTCTTCTCCTATATTCTTGAGCATTAGAAGGCTGTTGCTCCACCAGCCTGCCTTCAAGCTTCCTTGCAGTTCGCTTTATAGCAGCTAGTTTCTGGCGTTGGCTATGACTTTTCCTTTTGCTGTATGATTATAATATATATAAAATAGAAGATAAGCATCATTCCAACAATAATTATAAACGAAACATTTCTCAATTGACGTACACAAAGAAAGTAGATAACAAAAATCCAAGATTCTGCTTAAGAGGAAACTCTATTTGAATTTGGCACAATGTCATAGGGGATAATATTAATTTTATCAGCAGTTTGACAGCATGCATCGATTAAAGAAAAACAGGATTAAAACAATACTTATAAAAAGAAAATCATGAAGAACCACTTCCAATAAGCCGCATTTCAACCAGTTTGTCTTTTTGACTAACCTAATAGTAACAGGAGCATACAAAAATGCAGAGCTACTCAGTAATAGGAAAGAAAAAGGAGTGCATTCTGACCTTACAAATACCAAGCCTGCTGTTAGAACCATCCCTCCAATAGCCCAAGAAACTCTTTCACCGAATGGCATTTCCCTCATCCATTGGTGGATATCATCCAACATCCTCAAGCTCTCCCCTTTCCGGGTCAACTCAAACTGTGAAGTCTTCCATGAATCAGCAACAGAACGTAGACTTTCTTTATCACCGTAGCAAGAAGCCCCTTCTGAGGCAATATGTACAATATCGATTGATCTCACTCGAAAACCTGCAGCAAGACAAAGATCTGTACCATTGGAGACCCATTCAGCAGCTCTACCACATACAAAGTCATTTACTCCACAAGGTGCTAGAATCTGGTGTTTCAAGTCAATAAAAAAATGGGTATAAGGTGACATGTTAAACCATGTTGTGGTATTAAAAAGGCTAATATAAACATATTGAACTCTCTATTCCACAAAAAAATATAAAACCTTATATTTTGCTGTGAATTATTAGCAACAAATCAATCATGTGTAAACAATAAATGTTTGACAAAAGAAAATGCATATTTTTGTCTGATGACCAGCTAATGCAGGACTCGAAACTTATTTTCATAATTTTATATAAACAATTTTGATAAGAGACAGTCACTCATGTACCTGTGTTTTCACATCCATAGAGAAGTAAGCATTTGAGCATGCCTCATAAATTCTCTCACATAAAGATGCACAAATAAGAGGAGGTCCAGATTGAGTACCAACACGTGGATCACAAATGGAACATTCCAACAGTTCCCATAAGTGCAAGCACTCTGGGCTAGCTTCCCCAGTAGTAGCAAGCTTCCTTAAAGACATCAGAGCAGGATGTGTATGGGTTACATCACAGCAAGTCTTTTTGCGAAAAATCCGGCAAAGGGTCAAATCTTTAGGACCCTTTTTGGGAGCGTTACCCTCAGATTTGAAAGGAGGAAAACGACCTCCTTGAGAAACACACACTCCACTGGGTTTACCTGCATTAAAAAAAGATAAAGAGAATTGAAAACTAAATGCACAGATGAATACAATTTTATTTGCCTAAGGTGCAGTAACAAGTAAGATAAAATGCGATTAAAACATTGACCTACAAAAACAATCTGTTAGATATCTCATTTGAGTAGATACCTTGTTCAACTGCATAACCACCAGGTTGTTACACATTTCATCACAAGATTCATTAAAACCCCAAATGTTTCAAAGAGTTAGTTCTATGTACAGTAAACGCATTATTAATTGCAAACAAAAATGAATAAAAGGGAATGAAAATTTAATTACAAGGCATATTGTGATTATGACAGAAAAGTAATGGCTAAGCATATTCTGCCCATCATGATCCACAATAAGCTAATACTAAACAAATTAGTTCACTACTCATTGTGAACTTATGATCAGGATTTGTTACCACGACAAATTTCCAACTAAGTCATGCTTACTAAAGGATGCGTATACAGTAATGGAAAGTATGTCCAATTGTCCATTTTAGCTTTAGTTGAAAAACGAAGTTTGCAGAAACTACGATGAAAAGATGATCCCAACAAGGCAAGCAAAATGGAAAAGACAGATATTGATACATTGCATTGTTCAGTGTGTGTATCCATGAGAAAGAAGGAAGAAACAAAGAGACAAAGCAAGTAAGTACATACATGTGCCGTAAATACAGGTAGTCCGGTTAATCCCACGTTCACGACAAAATTAAGGGTTTTGGTTAGCTGACGAAATCTTGTCTGAAATAAAATGTAGAACATCCACAAACCCATTTTTCCTTTATATCAACACGTGATCCTATAAATTAGTTCCATTTAGATTGCCCTTTTGAGAAGTATACTACACCAACAAAATGGATGGTCAAAACAAAGGGTAACATACAACATTTGGTGATTTGGGTCTGTGATAGAGTGCCTATCTAAGAGAGATGGAATCACGCAAATGAGACCAAAGATCAATGAACCACTGCCCGAGTGAGTCAAGTTACTAACTACTAACCAGAAATGAACAATGTAACTTCAACTAAAAAACATAACTGTGCGTCTCTCGAATATTCCAAAACAATTTAAGAAGCGAATTCATAGAACCACGCCAGAGTGTGTATCTATCAGAAAGGAACAAAATTAGAGAATTACCCGGATCCTAATCGATCACTCCAATAACTGTTCAAACTACACAGTATTTCGAAAAGAATAAAATAATTTCCCTGTTGTTTTTACTTCCGTGTATCCGTGCTTAAGCTTGACATCGAATCTTATCTTATCGTGATCAAAATAATAAAATAAGACGACAATCGATAATTACAAATAAAAATTGCAAAATCAATAGGAGATGTTTTGTTTTGTTTTGTTTTTTCTTTAAATGAAAAGGTATAAAAGAGAGAAGGCAAACCAGAAGAGCGAGGAAGGAAGCCATGGAAGAGAAGGAGCAAAAGCAAAAAACCAAAATCCATGTTCTTGGGTCCAAGCCGGGACTGCTTCCGATCCATACCCGCTAAACCAGCTTCACCTCGATTTCATAGTCGTCGCCAACACTAGCTACGGCTGCACCCAAACACGGTGCTATTCAATCCAATAAGAACCTTCCAAATCTTCTATTCGAAACTCCCCAAAAGATGGCCCAGAGAAGAAAGCCCAATCTCCTACTGGTAGCTTATTCTATTTGGGCCACTATCCTAAACAAATTGATTTTTCTTTTTGATTGATTTTTTTTTTATCAAGAACACCTTCTAACTAATTGCAAATTATAAAATAACTTCAATTTGCAGGCTGTGAATTGATATTAAGCTTTTGATTATGACTTTTGTATATTCTTAATATTTATATATATATATATATATATATATATATTTGATTTTAAATGCAAGAGACTAAAATCGTAATAAAAATAAAACAGCATGCTTCTTTTGGTGGAGTTTTGCAAAATTTTCATGTAATAATTTCACCAAAAAGAAAAGTGTTATTTAAAAATAAAATTTAGTTGACGTTCCGACATAGCGACATGCATTTATATACATTAAGAAATATACATATTCATGGGCCAAGCCCCACTACGTACTAACAGTCCTTATCCTCCACGAAGACAAAATAAATTCAAATTAATTACCCTGAGTTTATGTTAATTTCCAATTTGATCAATTAATCTAATCTTCTCATTTAAAATATTTTCCATTTAAATATATCAAATATTAACTATTTTCCAATATTAAGACTTCTTTTCTTCTATACCTCTTCTCTCTTCTCTTCCGCTTTTAAATGCGCACTGGTGCCAGAAATGGTATCAGAGCCAAAGAATAAAAATTTGCGCTGATTATATATCTGTTTTTGTTTGAAATAAATATGCTTTGTGGTTGCGGTTTAGGCCGATCCTCCACATCAGAAAATTGTTTGCTTAATCAAAGTATATAGGCTGGAAAACTGGGTGCTTAAGTCTTCCCAATTGGGTTGCTTGATGCATAATAGGTCATCCCAGACCACAAAAGTCAGGTTCAATTCCTGATAATTTAGTGTGGATTAACAAAGCCACGTACTTTGTTCATAATACTGATTACTCTTTCTGAATTACTATTTTCTGAAAACTTAACTTTTTTTATAGAAAAGAATTTTATTAATAGAACCTTGCCTAAGAGTCTTTGAGGGTAGATGAACGTTGGTAAGCCGGTATAGGTTATAAGTCCAGAAAGTGGCAATAAATCCTGTGGTGTTCCCGTAAATCTTAGACCTTGGCCTTAGGATGGCGAAATTAATAAAACTCTTATCTAAAGGAAAAGAAAAGTTAGAAGAAAATAGAAATACAGAAGAAGAAACCAGTAATATGAACCTAGTACAGCATGAATTAATAATTCCAGAAAATGTATGGAACCCCAAATCAATACCCATAACAATAATATATAGAATATATTATAAAATAATGAAAACTCAATTAGAACCAGAACCCCTCAAACCAGTAGAAATTGAAAATATAACCGAATATAAATCAGGAACCGTAGAAGTATCTTTTGCACCAATTCGAAGAATGAATTCACAAAGAGAATCAACCAGTAAAAATACTTTTGTAACCGCTAGAAGATCGGTAGATCAATCTAGCCTAATACATCATAGAAGTCTAAAATTAAAAGGAATAAAAGACGATCCTACAATACCCATGCCAGAATACGAATATGAAACACA